TGTAAATAGATTTCTTACCCTCTCTGCATCTTAGTTTACTTACCTATAAAATGAGTCAGTAAAGCCCATTCATATTAAATAAACTCCTTATTCATATTAAATAAATCTCCCTCTATGTATTTAATTTGCAAAAATATTAAGAAATTAATTTTGTGAGAGAATTTGAAGTTGAGATCTTCATCCAAGAAGTATATTTTCAATTTCCTAGAATGTAGGCAAGGCACTTAATTTATCAGAATTTGGTTACTCATAAATATTACAGAAATAAAAATCAGCCCCATTCAGAGAAGGTTACCTGTGAAATTCTATGACTAAGCCACATTGATATCAAAGCAGTACTCCTCATGGCTTCAAATGTAGACCCAACCAGTCAGCTATCCTCTATCCAGTCTGCTTTTCTGGTTCTAAAAATTGAGTACCACAGACAGGGTAGTTTATACATAAATAGAGGCTTATTCAGTTCATAGTTTTGGCATTCAAAGTCAAGAGGCTGCATCTGGTGAGCATCTTCTTATTGGTGGTGACTCTGCAGAGTCCCAGGTGGGCACAGGGCATCATATGGCAAGAGTTTGCAAGTGTCTGTTTCTGTCTTACAAAGCCACAAGATGCAATTATGGTGGCCCCACGCTGGTGATTTTATCTAATCCTAATTACTTTCCAACAACTCTGTTAATTCTATAGTCAGATTAAATCTTTTCTCTTTTATTATCACTACAACCAAATTTCAACACATGAATTTTGAATGGACACATTAAAACCATGGCACTAAATATTATTCTATCATTTGTTTTTTCATCAACTAGGTAGTTCCCAACATATAGCTATTATAAATAATGGCACTACTGACATTTATGAACAAGTTTGATATGGATGTTTCTCTTAGGTATATGCCTAGATTTGAAATTGTTGCGTAATATGGTAATTCTATAATAAATATTTTGAGGAACTAATGGTTTGTCCAAAACAGATTTATCTTTATATCTTCCCAACAATAATGTATATAAGTTCCAATTTATTTTTCATCCTTGCTAATACTTGTAACTATCTAACATTTTAATACTGGCTAGCCTACTGGGTGTAAAGTAGTATTTCATCATGGTTTGATTTGTATTTCCCTGATATTAATGATTTCAAGCATCTTTTTTATGTCACTGTGAACCATTTGTATATCTTCTGTTCAGATACTTCACCTATTTTTAAATTGAGTAAAGTATTTGTCTTTTTCTATTATTGCATTGTAAGTATTTATATATTTTGGATATGAGTCCTTTATCTGATATATGATTTGCAAATATGTATTCCCATTCTGTCATTTGCCTTTCCATTTTAAAATGTGTTCTTTGCTGCACAAAGTAGCTTCATTTTTATGAAGTCCATTTTATCCAGGGTTTTTTTTGTACTTTTTATTTTATTTTATAATCACTGAATATTATTACACCATACAAAATTAATTTTCCCATCCAGGATACACTATATATTGGCTCAATCAAAGATACTACCATACATACTATCATCAACAGACAATTTTCCATTTTGTGATTCTTAAATGTTTTGCATCTTTCCTTTTCTCCTTGATTACCTCCCTCTCACCCTACACCATTTTCCACCCTCCTCCCACACTGTCTCTGGTATCCAGTTGCTCTTCATGCCTCTCTACTGCCCAATATTTCCATTTCTGCCATAGAGTACAGACATTTAGTATATATATTGAGTGGGGACATACAATGTCTCTCTCTCATAGTCTAGCTAGCTTCACTTAGCAGTACATGTTCCATTTTCATCCACTTTCTATCAAATACTAGCATCTTATTTTTTTTTATGACTGAGCAGTAGTATTCTGTAGTGTATATGTGCCACACTTTTTCAATTCATTTGTCTTGAGTTGCCTGTGCTTTTTGGTGTCCTATCTATGAAATCATTCCTAAATCTAACATTATTAAGATTTCCCCCTATGTTTTCTTCTGAGTGTTATGGTTTTAATCTTTATGTCTTTGATTCATTTTGAGTTAACTTTTGAATGTGGTATAAATTAATGATACTTTTTTTCACATACAAATAATACCATTTTCCTAGTTTTTAACACAGGATTGCAACCAATGCTCTATCCAATTTTTTCCCTTCTATAAGCTAATTATAAGTAGGCATGGAGGTTACTGAAGCAAATGCAGGCTCAATCTTATTACTTATTATGACCAGTGAAATCTGACCATGATTTAACATACTCTGTCACTACATTTTTGAGACTAGCAAACACCCAGTTGGAGGCTGTCCCATTAGCCTGGCTTATAATAAAGACCTAAAGGAACAGAGAAGCAACAGGCCCATTTGAGACAAAAATAATGGAAGCAAAAATAAACATTTGTAGTTCAGAGTTACAGAGAATCCAAGGTAGTTTGTTACTATAGAATAACCCAGCCTATAGCCTATCCTGACTGATACAAGAATGAATAACAATTCAGATAAAGATCATTGCATAATTTAGAAGAATAGGCAGTTAGCATAATGGCTAAAAGGATAAACTCTAGAGCCAGATTGTCTAGTTTAAAATCCAGGGCCTCTACATACTAACAATGTGATCTTGGTCACACAGAGCTATTGACTATTTCCTCACATAGATCCTTGGGTAATAACAGTAATTATCCTATGGTGTTAGTCAATGGTTTAAGTGAGTCTCTTTTGTTTAACAGCAAAAAGTAAGTACTAGACTTAAGTAGTATTTCTTCTCTTGTATTCCACAGAAAGTCAAGGACCTATGAGTTATTATTCTAATAGGGAAAACATTGCATGATAGCAATCATCAGTGACAAAGGACATAAAGCCAAAAAGACTGTAAAACCAACAAAAGAATATATTATCAAGGCTTCTGTCACTAGGTGCAATTAGTAGCTTGATTTGGGCATACTCGCCTTAGAAGTATGAATGTGTTGGCTAACGGCTGTGTGTCTGAGAGAAAAGGGTAAAATTATCTACTGGTTTACACTTAGACTGGTCACTGTTTATCCAACAGGGAGCAACTACCCAGAGTTTCTGAGTTGTTCATGCATGAATTTGGGTGCCAAGTTCATTCAAGTTGGTGAAATCAATAGGAAAGCCCTAGGACCAGATGTGAGACATGCTCCTGACAACATAACAGGAAACACTGGTTGCTAATTCTGTCCTTTGTATTATATACAAAAAAAAATCTAATCAAATTGAAAAAGTAGAGAGAACTATTCAGCACAGTAGGAACATAGTAGCACCTCCTACCTCCTTTGCAGCACACAGAGCATGAGCTGAGGGTTATCAGGTAAGAGAGTATCTACTTACTTAGCTCTTCCCCCTACAGCCTGAGAAAGTTCACTAATTAGAGATGTGTCCATTAAAAACAACCACCCCTGGGATCATAAATACATCTACCACCCCTGCAGTTGAAAGATGGTCAGATCTGTAGAAAGAGTAATTCACAAAAGTCTGCCAGCTAAGAAATTAAACAAGGAAGTATAAAGGAAAGAGGACTCTCAGAAAGAAAATCTAGAGAATGTGCTTGAACCAGAGAACAAATAGGGAGCTTTACACAGAGAACTGAAGGCACAGGACAACTCACAGAAAGATGACTCAGAAGTTTAAAAATCAAGTAGTCATTCAATTTTCCTCACCTTTTCTATTCAGAAATCTAAGTATCACACATACTATTTGCATATTTAATTTTCTTACATTTTATTGAGAAATGTATTGTAACTTGAAAATAGTATGTGTACATCTTAAAAACAATAAAGTGAATTTCAGGTAACAACCAATCATGGTAAAAACCTTGGCAGTTACTTAAAAGTCTTTGTTGAATACATATTATTTGATGACAATAATGATTACATTTAATTTTTTAAAGCTTTTGTCCTTGTTTTCATTTCTGTTATAGGACATGTGTACTTGTCAGAGAGAGATAGAGACAAAGAGGGAAAGTGAGAAATTACATCCCAATGGGGATGGCCATGCTGCAATTCTTTCTCCTCCATTTTCTTCTCAGGATTTTGGACATGCATGCACACACAACCAGCATGATTTTCAAGCCACTGGATCCAGGACTCAAATCACAGAGTCAACCAAGTAGGATTCAGCCAACTTAACCTCCACATCACCTGATGACCCCTAATATTTTTAAGTTTTATTGTAAAATATATCATAACCTCAGAAATATGTATGTATGTGTGCATGTGTGTGTGTGTGTGTGTGTAAAATTTATAAAAGACAAAGTGAAATTCAAGAACTAAGCAATCATGTGAGAACTGTAGGCATAACTTGGTTTTCTGCTGTACAAAGATCATTTCATGATGATAATGATTATGATGCATTTCAGAGATGAGTAAATCCTTTTCAGATTATTCTAAAACTTATAGTAAATGCTTTGTCATATAAAATACCTTAGGGTAAGGCTAGTCCTTCAATATTTTATAGCAGCGTTTCATGCCATCACGAAAGGCCTGTATGAATTTGTCATTCCGGAGGGTGAATATTAAAGGGTTGAGGAAAGGGGTTACCACTGAAACCAGCAGTGATGCTACTCTGTTATACTCAGCTGCCTGCGTTTGCTTGGGTTTCACATAAAGGAAGAAGCAGCTGCGGATTTTGGACATGCATGCACACACAACCAGCATGATTTTCAAGCCACTGGATCCAGGACTCAAATCACAGAGTCAACCAAGTAGGATTCAGCCAACTTAACCTCCACATCCCCTGATGACCCCTAATATTTTTAAGTTTTATTGTAAAATATATCATAACCTCAGAAATATGTGTGTATGTGTGCATATGTGTGTGTGTGTGTAAAATTTATAAAAGACAAAGTGAAATTCAAGAACTAAGCAATCATGTGAGAACTGTAGGCATAACTTGGTTTTCTGCTGTACAAAGATCATTTCATGATGATAATGATTATGATGCATTTCAGAGATGAGTAAATCCTTTTCAGATTATTCTAAAACTTATAGTAAATGCTTTGTCATATAAAATACCTTAGGGTAAGGCTAGTCCTTCAATATTTTATAGCAGCGTTTCATGCCATCACGAAAGGCCTGTATGAATTTGTCATTCCGGAGGGTGAATATTAAAGGGTTGAGGAAAGGGGTTACCACTGAAACCAGCAGTGATGCTACTCTGTTATACTCAGCTGCCTGCGTTTGCTTGGGTTTCACATAAAGGAAGAAGCAGCTGCCGTAGCCAATGATGACAAAGGTGAAGTGGGAGGCACAGGTGGAGAAGGCTTTCTTCCGACCAGAGGCTGAGGGGATCTTGAGGATGGTGGAGATGATGTAGGTGTAAGAGACAATTGTCGGGATCAAAGAGCCAATGATAACAAAAACAGCCATTAGAAAAAGAACAAACTCTGTGAAAAGAGTGTCATCACAGGACAGTTTGAGCAACTGCCCTCGGTCACAGTAAAAGTGATCTAGCAGATTTGATTTGCAGAAGGTAAACTGAAATGTGGCATAAACTGGCCATATTTGAAAAAGGAACCCAAACACCCACGACACAATTACCACAAAGTTGCAGGTCCAGCTGTTCATAATGATGTTGTATCTCAAAGGGTTACAGACAGCCACATAGCGGTCCACAGCCATCGCTCCCAGTAATACAAACTCCATGGTTCCCAGAGCAAGGTACAGGAAGAGTTGAGCAATGCACGCAGTCAAAGATATTCTCTGCATCCCAGGAAGTAGCAACCCCCAAAGCATCACAGGGATGATTGCAGTTGTGATCAGGATCTCCAGGACAGAGAGGTGGCCAAGGAAGAAATACATGGGAGACTGCAGACGTTTATCGACACAAACAATCACAATGATGACCATATTTCCCATCAGTGTCACCAAGTAGAAGAAGAAGAACGTGGCAAAGAGAATGTGGTGGAGTTCTTCAGAGCCAGGGAAGCCAAGAAGATAAAATTCAGTGGCACTAGAGTAATTCCCCAACATTTAGTTCTGAGTCCTCGTTCCTTGTGAAATCTAGAGAGCAATAGAGAGAGATAACACTGCCTCTCACCTCAAAGGGGTGATCTTTCAGGTGGAAGAGACATTGGCCTCCTGTTCCTCAAGTGCACAAGATGAGTCTACAATTTCTACACAAGGTTGATGTTAAATGTCTAATGAAGAATATATACAATGTATGAAGATGACTATACAGTTCAAGAAGATTAACAGTGGGGGTAATACCACACAATAAACAGGAAATCCCACCCATCCCTGAATGAACTGGACATCCAGCCTATAACTCAGCTCTGACCACCCACCCTCTGCACTTTCCTGACCACCACCTGCTTGTTTATACCACACCTTGTTCATCTTGAATGGAACTAACTTGTCTTCTCTCTCTGTTATGTTCCTATCTTGTAAGTCCTGCTTCATTTACACAATTATAATATTCCCATCTAGTCCTAAATCACAATGTTATTTTTTTCTTTTATATCCTCTAAATATGTGCCCCATTTGTATTGTGCCCATTTGAGTTTTCATCTCCATTATATTTATCATTTTCAGGTGTGCTATTAGGAAGTAGAGTGTATTTAGGACAGTGGCGTAAGAGAAGAACTACTTTGACA